TTTGTCTTAAGCGCGTCAATTACCAACTGGTAATTTTCTTCTGTTACTTGAAACTGGGCGGCTGTTTGTCGTGCTTTACCTACCAGTGACTGCAACAAGTAATTGAACTTGAGCATAGTAGGGATTGGTTGATCCTCTACATTTAACTTGAATATAACCCAAAAGGAATCCCATTCCTGACGTTTTCCTCCAAATTTCGGGTAACCGTGACAACAATTTGAAGCTGACTGGAGGCGTAAGGAAACGATGTTAGTCGAGGAGGCTCACTAGATGACTGAGGTGCTGCTGCTCTTTCTATTCCTCTTTGTCTTCTGAGTTCAACTTGCTTCAAATTCTCCAAGTGGTAGAGATCTCTATCTCCTTCTCGGCTAATTTGCCTAACAATGCTTCCGCTGTAGTGATCAAATCCCATGCAAGGTTGAGATACATCTCCTGTGACGCCTGCTCTTCTTGCTGGGAGCGGTCGTCTAGCTTGTCGAAAACTTCCTCAAAGCTGTTGACCGCCGCATCTAATGACAACTTGGCTGAGGTGATACTGGCATGTTGTTGCTGCATAACATTCTTCTTAGTGTTCAATAAATCGATAGTTTCTTCCTGATTTTCCATTCGCGGTATCGTAAAGGTTAACAGATGTTGTGAATCTGCTACCAGTTCTTCCAGACAGTTGCCAGTTTTGGTAACTCTGGTCTTAAACGGCTTCGAAGACAGGCCCATGGTGCCAAGCGGATCAATCGATTATGAGTATCGAATGGACCATAAGAAAACACGTCCTGTGTAGAGAGTTCAAGGACCAACCCTGACACCGACTTACGAAATCTAATCAGATATCGATTAAGCACGGCTCAAGAACGAGAATGACCGATGCACCAAATCTTTTGGGCGTGATCTTTGCACACAAAAGGCAAAAGGAAAAGAAGGAATTTAAGCGAAGGAAATTCTAATGTGAAACGGGGCTTACTTCTCAGTATTCTTTCTTCTACCTCTCCTCTTCTCGCTGTTGGGCTCTTGTCTTCGGTTGAGCGCAGAATGAGGTTCTGGAAATGGACAGATAGTAATGGCAACCACACAGCAACGCCAGATAGACACGGTTTCAACCATGGATCGCCAAGTAACACCTCAAACATGGGTAATTAATATACAACACAAAACACCGTAAATAATACGATCAACATTTTAAAGCATACCGAACCGTAACAAGTAAGGAACCATTAAAGAAGAGATCGAATACTAGCAAGAGATGAGAACAATTAAACA